CCTTAGTGCTCATTCATGCTTTGCCGTCCTCGTTTGCTAATGTGCATTGTGTCATGTGTGAAGGCAGCAGATATATTTTGAATGGGCTGCCAAAGCACAAGAATGCACAAAAAAAGTACATGCAGCATTTTATCTGGTAGTGCGTTACTATGCATTGTGTTGCTTTGCCACCCTTGTGCATTGGAGCTGTGTTGCCTTAGTGTGTTGCGGTGCCATTCAAAATAAATGGCACCACAATGCACGTTACTACAATGCTAAAGTGTGATTTGTACCATAACACAGGTTTCCAAGTGTATGTTTCTAGGTGTAGGGTCTGAAATGACATATTACCCTATCAGAGCAACGAAGGCCCTACAGATAGTAGTAGATGCTAAACCTGTATTTTGTTTTTACCTATTAAACTATTAAATTGCATTGAATGAGCAATAATTGTCACCAGAAAAAAAGGTGTTAGTGGGTTCCATGTACAATCCATATACCCATTGCACTCCTGATCGCTTATCCATAATAAGAATAGTTGGGTGCATCGGCAGTCGACGGATGGCTACCGTCCAGTTATACAAAAAGGTATGGACACCGGCACTCCAAAGATAGAAGTACGTCTATTTATTGCCGCACGTGCAAAACATGCTCATTGTATACGCAGTGGGTTCCATGTGACACATGGAATTCCGGAACAGCTGTGATAATCTATGGAAATAAGACATTCAGAACACTCATTGTGTTCTGACCCAAAAACTTGGGCTCTCTATGATGTCGACTAAAGCCGAGCAAATTGATTTTTCATTTCTCACGGCAGCCGATCATCTACGGCTTGATAGGAGCACCGACACCTCAATGAAAGGACAGAAAATCACTTGCTACATACCAAAGATGAATTGCCTTGTATATAGCTGAGCTGTAGACACATATGCCTGTACAAAGAGAAACTTGTTCCCTGATAGCAGGACAACTCATAAATATTCTATTGTAAATCCAGAGATCACAATTTAGCATTTTAAAATGTCAATTATTGTTTATATATTTTTATCCTTTGTAATCAAGAATTTTTTTAAATAAATGTAAATTTGAAAACATCCCAAATAGTTGGATTTTTCTGTGTAATGTGTTGGGTTATGGTATCATGAGACTGCAGTATACATTTCATAAAGCTTTTATATTTCCTTTCTACTGATACTATAGTTAATGCAGAAATACGATCGTACATAATGATTTCTGTCCCAATCAAATTCTGCTTTTCTAGTATACAAATTCACAGTAAACGTTGTGCTCAAGTCTTCACCTCTGGGGCAGAATGGAGCGACCATAGAGGAGTAGAAGAGTGCGGCAGGCAGCAGGAAGAGAGGAGCCACATTGGAGGAGCATGGAGCTATAAGTATGAGAGCAGAGAGGGCTAGAGGGATAGATAACAGGGACAAAGGTGGGGCATGCTCCATACGACCAAATGTGAGCAACAAATCTTCCAGTATTGCGTTCAGGAGACGCCTCCTCTCTCTATATACTATACAGGCAGGATAAGAAATAAAATATTTCTCAATAGACAATACCAGAAAATGGAAACCATCCCTGTCTGATAACACGAAAACCTGTCACTCATGGGTAGTGTTTGGCTGAAGCCATTTATTATCAATCAACTGTGTTTACTCTTTTCCAATCATAATGACAACAGAAACTACCCAAATGACCCTGATCAAAAGTTTACATACCCTGGTGATTTTGGCCTGATTACATGCAAACAGATCACAGGTGAGGATGGTTCCCTTTAATAGCCATTCACGCCCCTTTGTGTGTCAACCTGTATGCATGTTATCAGTGTGTGTGTGTATAAAAGGCCAATGAGTTTCTGGCCTCCTGACAGACCCTTGCATCCTTCATCCAGTGCTGCACTGACGTGTCTGGATTCTGAGTATTGGGGAAAGCAAAAGAATTGTCAAAGGCCTTGCGGGAAAAGGTAGTTGAACTGTATAGAACAGGAAAGGGATATAAAAAGATATCCAAAGAATTGAGAATGCCAATCAGCAGTGTTCAAACTCTAATCAAGAAGTGGAACATGAGGGGTTCTGTTGAAACCAAACCACGGTCGGGTAGACCAACTAAACTGTCAGCCACAACTGCCAGGACAATTGTTCGGGATGCAAAGAAAAACCCACAAATAACTTCAGGTGAAATACAGGACTCTGAAAACGTGGTGTGGCTGTTGCAAGAAATAAGAACTGGGGTATGTGAACTCTTGATCAGGGTCATTTGGGTAGTTTCTGTTGTCATTATGATTGGAAAAGAGTAAACACAGTTGATTGATAATAAATGGCTTCAGCCAAACACTACCCATGAGTGACAGAAAGGTTTTCGTGTTATCATTCATATTCTCTGAAAAATATCCAGGAAATCATAAATTCTGCCAGGGTATGTACACATATGAGCACAACTGTATATACTGCTGGCAAGCAGGAGATATATGTAAAAACATTTTTTTTTAAAGTTACCAAATAGGTAAAAACTTACCTGTGTCTCCACCGCTCGCTCCCATCCGAAGATTCTCGAGTGGCCGCAAAGGAACATGGGGCGGGCGCATGCGCAGTAGAGATCTTTGGCCGAGAGAAGAGGAGAGACACAGGGTAAGTCAGTGCACGCAGACAGACACCATGGGACCCCAGGAGTCTGCGCTGGATCAGAGACCGGCACCAGCGCTGGAGGGACTCCTGAATACAAGTGGAAGGAAGAAGATGATCGGATCATGAGGCATCTTTTAAGGTAAGTCCTTAAAGCAGCATGGGGGGGGGGCACTTTAATCTCACTTTAATATCAGTCCTTCTTTAGGAACGTACATTAGAAGCCACAGGATGAGTAGAGAGAGTAGAATTCAGGAGAATGAACACTGGGAAGGGAAGCTGCAAGGACAGCCTAGTATAACTCCTCCCACTTCCATCATCCTCCAGTTTTTTGCTATTGTCCTAAAAGATGAACATCTTCTCTTTTTCTTCTTTTAAGGGAGAAACAGGACCGGCCTATAATGTACCGTTAGGTCAATGGGCCCTGCTGAGGCGCTCTGCTAGATACCTTTTGGTGTAATGCAGGGGTAGGCAACATCAGCCCGCCAGCTGTGATGAAACTACAAATCCCATCCACCACAGCTGGAGTGCCGAGGTTGCTTACATGTGGTGCAACGTGTGGGTTAGCTGCATAATGCTTTACAGGTCCAAGGTCGCAGTGCACATCTTGTGGAATCCTGTCCCTGAATACTCCATAGGAAGTTTGCCCACCGGGAGGGCAAAGGCTATCTGGATGGGGCAGGGTGTAGCACACATGGCGCCTATGGCGTTAAATCAGGAGATTGAGCTGCAAAACGTTTGGGTGCAAAATGGCAGAGGGAAGGGGCAAGCACCATTTTTTGAACACCCAATATCTATTATCACCTGTGTGCCATTATTGAGTCTGCACAGCGTCCCTTTGGGTTGCTCACCTGCCCTGCTGGATTGAGATAGAGGGCATTCCACGGACTCTCATCGCCCTGATCTGGCCCAGGTAGCCATGGTACCCAGACCTTCTCAAGATTCCTGTCAGACTCCCTGTGGGCCCTCCCAGATCGTACACGTCCTCTGTCCCAAGGACCGGTTTTCCACCCTGCTTCTCAGTCGCTGGCTGTAATAGTCTGGCTGCTGAAGCCCGGGTCCCACCTCCTTAGTGACAGCCTTTGTACACGGTGCCACTCACATTGTCCCCCTTGTACATTCCCCAGTACTGAGGGACAAACTGAACTTCCTCTCATTAACATACAATGCTTGTAGGTCTTTAACGCTGTGTAAGGACAGACTGTGCCTGTATGGTTTTTCTCCATGTCCTGCGTTTCCTTCCTAAAATAAACGAATCATTACACTGTCTTGCACCAAACATTGGGCCAAATGTATCTGCACATGCGTAATAGAAGAAGCAGTAGAATGGAATCTTATATGGGAAGCGCTTCAATTGTTCCTGATAATTACTGGGAAAGAAGTGTCAGCTTTAGTAGTTAAGTCCCAATAATGCTTTAGCACCGATATTGCACGATTTCAATCACTCTGCAAATAGAAATCATAAACAATATTATGAAGGGAATTTATCAAAACTGGAGCAGACAAAATCTAGAGTAGATGTGGAGAAGCTGATTGGTTGCTATGCACAGCTGGTTGCCATGCACAGCTGCTCCAGTTTTGATAAATTCCCCCCTATGCGTATATATTGTATACAGTGACATTGGGTTTGACATACCAGACAAATAGGCTGCTCACATTGCAGGGGAATGTTCCCTTAGCTTAGTGAATATGGTGAAAATTCACTTTGCAAAGAACACCTGATCACATGGAAGGAAAAAAAAAACCAGCATTTTGCTTGCAGATGATTGGATGATGGGAGTCAGCAGAGCTTCACCTCATTTACTAAGCAAAGTGAAAATTCCCCTGCAAAATTCTGCCATTGAAACAAAAGCTTGATATATAGAGGGCTCTCATTATTGTCTGACCACTGCTGCGTTTTATACTATACTAAACACAAAGTCAGAGTAACAGACTAATGTAATAAATTATCTAACAGTTTTATTATCAAGATTATTTGAGGGTCAGGTGTATATATTTATATAAATATATGTGCTCATGATGGTTGATTGCCTTCCCCTCAGCTGGCCACACACCTATAGAATATCTATAGAAAATCTGCAGATAATCTATAGGTGTATGGCCAGCTTTAGACAATACCTGCAAGAAATGTGAGAAGTTGAGCTCCTGATGGGAATTAGTCTTTTTTCCCCACTTAATGAGCTCTGTATATCAGAAATATTCCTTCTTCTTTGGTACTGGTGACCTGTAGTACTAGGCTGGACATTGAGAGTATTGCTCCATACAGCCTCAGTAATAGGTACAAAAATAAATACATGTAAAAGTACGTACAATGTGCTTTAATATATACAGCACATTATACGTACTTTTAGACGTATTTATCCTTTAGCATAGTGATGTAGATTAGAATGGGGAGCTATGCATTCAGCAGAGCTTCATATTTTTCATCATAGGATCCTCGCCCTCTAATAATTAGTCTCTGCGGCTTCTCTCCCAGCATTCCGTGCACCGTCACCGCTGTCTCATAGTCAGTGTTTGTCCTGAGGAACATAGAGAACAACAAAATGACATTATAAATATTCTGAAGTCACTTGAAGTCATTTCAAGTTTTTGTCACATTAAAGCCTAAAAACCTTCACAGACGTGAGGCCGCTATACATAAAAATGACATTCTCTGCTTTGCTTATACAATCTGGAAACAGTGTACATTTTGTGTTTCGTGTTCTTGATTTAGGATTTATTTTGAGTCAAACCATTTTGCTGTAAGACAAGTAGGGGTTTGTGCACAATTTATTATGGGAGGGACAAATATTCTGGCTGACCGTGACATACCACTTTCTGTTCCATTTTGAAGAGTTAATGAAGTTTATTCTTGTGGCTCGGAGTGAAGACCAAAATATTTGTTTATTATTCTAGTCTTATTATTCTAGTGCTTATCTAAAGACATTGTAATGATCACTTGTATTTGAAGCCAGCTGAAATCTGTGCATCACAGTGTATGATTTATGACTCTATGACAAATGCTGTTCTGCCATTGGCAGTTTGTAGTTGCTGGTGCCACACACACCTCCCATTATGTCTCCCTACCTTGCTGTGAAGGTGACCAGTAACATCTCTTTACTGGCCGATGTGTGGCTGACATGAGCCTCCAGCACCCCACTGGTGGGAGAGATAGAAAACACCTCCGTTTTGCTGTGTCTTTCTTGTTTGTCTAAAATAGACCAATAAGCACACTGTTACACATTATTACATTAGCAGGTTGTCACCAACAAACAGAGCCAGCATCCTGTTTGTCTCCACACCACACAACATACCTTCTTCTCAGCTGATACAGAGCTGTCCTGACAAGTGCAATAGATGTACATAAACTGTGCATTGACCTGTATTTTATGGTATGTTCCAGTGAAAGAAAAATACACGGACCTGAGAATATCAATGCAATCAAGTAGGACCTATTCACACCAACGTGATGCATTAATCACAAACATAAGAGGAGTCCGCACATGAGGTCAATAAGTCTTTATTCCAACAAAAAGCACATAGATGCCTTGATGTGTGTCGTGCTGCTGCCCTTAATAATATGGCAAACAAAATCAGGAATGATCTGCAGTTATATTCACTCATGTGTCCAAACAACACCTACTCACTAATAATAACTACATAGAAAACCGAGATTAAAGTGACACTAAACTCAGGATTAAATCCTAAAAATGCATTCAAATACCTTCACTATTAACAAAAATGTAATTTATTTGTGTATCATTCGCGCCTATGATGGACTACAATCTCACGTATAGTTTACTAAATTGTAGTAAGATTATATTCTATCACAGGAGCGAGTATGGGGTGGTGACTACTTTACAACACACACAGGGACCATGGGGAAGAAAAGTAGCCACCCTCCAGAAGGAAGGACAGTGTCAGTATGAATTCCGAGATGATTTGAGGATCTACAGCCGAGGGATACATAAATAAGATACATGTTTGTTAATAGTTAAGGGACTTGAAGGCATTTTTATAATTTAACTCCTGAGTTTAGTGTCACTTTAATCATCTAATAACCACAGAACTTGTGAGCTTAACAGTGATCAGAAATAAAAATGAAAAGTAGAAATAGAAATCAACATTTATGTGTGTAACCAATGACCTATTTTGTTGAAGAACACAGATTATGCTGAAATACTTTCAGGAAATAATAAGGTGGTAGCCAAGAAACCCCCAACTTTTGGCAGATATGTATTCCTTAAGGTGCCCATACACCTTATCTGCAGATTTTCTGTGGTCAGGTGGAAAAAGTGCAACAGATTGGCCCAGGTGGAGATTACTCCATCCACACAGTTAAAGTGACATTAAACCCTCAGATTTTTTAACATCCTTCTCTCTTCTCATGCTGGGCAGAACTTCTGTTTTGCAGCAGACTGCCTTGTCTCAGGAATGGATACACGGTGTCTGTGTATACGTTTGTATAGCTTGAAACCTGAGCCAGCACTACAGGAAGAGGCCCTGAGCTGAAAAGGGAAGTTCTCCCCAAGCATGAGAAGACATGAGGATTTAAAAGGAAGAGCAGCAAAGAGAAGGGAAACAACCATGGATTAGAGTAAGCCACACATTACAGTATTGGTTTATGTCAAAAAATCTAAGGGTTTAAATGTCACTTTAAGTGTAGATGGAGGAATCAGTTGCACCTTTTCCATCTGATCACAGAAAATCTGCAGATAATTGTAAGGTGTATGGCCAGCTTACGTGTAGTTGAAGGGACGACAAGAACACACATGGCTGGGACACAAGAACCTTCAAATATGAACACAACATGTGCCAATGTTGTTGCCATTACGTGTTTGTTTCTAGAAATCTATTTTCCTTAATCCGTAGTATAGGAATTTACATAAACTGCAGTACTAAGAATTTGATTTAGTTGATAACTTGAAGGATATGTAATGTAAAAAATGTTGGTAGCATTTTGCCTCATTTGAAGGACAGGTTTCATTATTACCAATAAGCCAACTAGTTTAGCTAAACACTTTATTTGCCATGATCCCAGTATAGAACTATTTATGGCATAGAACATCCTCATTTAAGTGTCAGGGGAGGGGTGTATTAAGGAGATTATCCAGGAAGGAGTTTTTTTGCATCTTTATATTAGGTACCAGAGGCCCACTGGGACTGAATTCTTAATGTCTTACTATTATGATTGATGAGTTCATTATTTTCTCCATCTAGCATCCTCTCCTGCAGACACTGAGGTCAAATCAGTCCAGATAGGATACACTTATTGAGGCATCCGTCTAAACAAACATTCAGTGAATATATACACATTTGTATTGTTCCTAATCCACATTTTTACATTTTGTGAATTGAGAACTAAGTGTATGCTTTCTGGAGTGGCAGTAAGTCAAAACGACGTGTATTTCCACTTTTCATTTTTTACCTTTATTTTTACTGATGATCACTGTGAAGCTCAGGTGTTCTATGGTTTCTGGATAATGAATCAGGTTTTTTCACTTTAGTTAGTATTTGTGATTAGGTTTTGGACACATGAGTGAATATACCGTATATACTCGAGTATAAGTCATCCCGAATATAAGCCGAGGTACCTAATTTTAGCAAAAAAAACTGGGAAAAAGTATTGACCCGAATATAAGCCGAGGGTGGGAAATGAGGCAGCTACTGGTAGATAGATACCATTAAAATACATTAATATTTATTTAAAAGAAAAATAACCTAGCTCTGTAAGTGGAAAAGTTTACCATGAATTTGTTTTAACAGTGTGGTTGAGGCTTCAAGTATCTGTGACGTATACTCTGCTGAACCAGGCAATCACATCACTCACATAAGATAACTCTAAAACGTCACATTACTGTATACAAATTTGCATCAATTACCTTTAAAAGCTCTCTTTTTCGGGTGGTTACATGACCACAATCACTCCTGTCTTATCACTCTTGCGAAGAGCATGTGGCTTGCCCCAAGGCACAGCATCTGGCCAGTCAACCTGAGCAGAATACTTCCCCAGAAGTAGCTCCCAATCAGAAAATAGGGCTGAGTGAGGCAGGGGTGGGGGCGAGGGGGCTGTTTCACCAGCCTTCTGACCAGGGGAGCACAGGCACAGTGCTCTGTATCTCTTGGGCAAAAGGCAGGGTGGGCAGTGTGTCAGCAGCCTTCTGACCACAGGAGTGCAGGCTCCCATTCAGAAGGCACAGACACACACTAACCACCAAGGACTGATCTGCTGCCATGCCTTGCTTGGTCAGAAGGAAACAGAATGATGGGGACCAGCAGGATCAGCAGATGTGTAATATATTTTATTTCTTTTTAAGATATAAAAAAAGTTATTGCTAGGGACAAAGGAATCTATTCCCCAACAATGTACATTAAGGTTCACATTATTGGTGACCAAGGTAATTTCTTCTATATAAATCCCCAGAAGGAATCTGACATTCTCCTAACTCTAAGGCATATAGAAGTTCGGGGTAACCAAATGATGCCATTACCCTGCGACCACCATGCAGCTCAGGAGTCAGAGAAAGGCAACTTCCCTCCACAAGTCATCATCCTAAGGTAAAAAGCAGCCGTGACCAGCACATAATTATAAGTATTAGCATAATTTACTGATATACATAGTTTACCCAGCAGAGCCGTCCAGTAGCTCTTTGATCCACTTTTATTGAGAAGAAAAACCTCTCGTGTCCTTGTCTGTCCAACAAAGCATGTACCAAAATCCACTGTGTCACTTGAAAGCTGTAGCACTGGCACTGTGATGTATGCACTTAGTGCCACTTGCTGCAGAGATAAACACAATGCTGGGTCATAAGGTGAGCTGGTATACTTCAGGCTATAAATGATATACTGTTTTATTACTCTATTCAGTTTCTCTTAGTGAGAAGAGGAAAGAAACTACATACCTGTGTGCTATTATTACTATACTCTATCAGCAACTGCTGGGAGAAGTGCAGCCTCCTCTCTCCATTCTCTGACTGCAGCAACTTCACTCCCGGCAGCATCTGATCCTCTGGAAGATGTTGGTAGGTCAGCAGTTCCAGAGTGGTGCAGAAGGACAATTTCACCTGTAGAACATACGCCAATGATCAGTGCATTACTAATACTACCCTGCAAACACTTTGTGTAAGCCACCGCAACCAGAATCCAGAGATCATCTTATACGTTTACTGGGTGTGTACTTCCTGAACATTCACATCACATCACATTGGTGCAGAGAAACAAAACGACATTTTCAGTCAGGCACAAGGAGATGCAGGTAGTGGCATGCAAATGTATAGCTTTAAAATAATATATTTCCTTTACCAATGTATTTTGTTGTGGGTGAAGCACAATCTGCTCTCCACGGTCCTCACGGTCACTCTGGGATGTCCGGACACTTTTGTTTGGATCAATGGCAGAAACAGAGAAAGGGTTGGACAATAGCAGACGGAAGTACAGAGGGGTTTCTGTGCAGTTGATCAGTTTCATGTTCCGAGTTGTCGCAATGTCAGTTAATATCTATAGAGGAAACATAACAGCATGGGAACTCATGGAATCTGATGTCTTCCTGCTCAGCACCTACGTGTCATTGGGGAATCATTCCAAGTATGAATCCAAAGACTTCAACAAAGCTGCTTGAAGCGTGCTGAAAGCTTTACAAATAGTTTGGAAAAACTTGCTGCACACACTGCTCTGATACAAGCCAAAGCCTATGAGAACAACGTCTTACCATGCTAACCAACAAACACGCTGCTATGTTCTCAGCATGTAATAGACAGAAAGCGGCAGCAATGACATACTGCATCTACTAGATACAATGGGCCATTGCTCAGAAAATCTCATCAGTCAATCTGCATTTCCTCAACTCATGGGGGTTCATTATTATTATTATACGGGATTTATATAGCACCAATAGTTTGTGTTCAGAAAAGTTCTCTATTTGCACGGCACTGGCATCCCTATGTGGCGCTAACAAGTGTATTGCCAATACTCGCCAGCACCATCTAGGGGGACTAGTGCTTTGCGAATTACATCTGTCCGGCAGAACTTTTATGAATTAAATTTTAAGACTGAAACCGAAATTTTAACATTTGACCAAAACCGAAAAATGACTTTTTTTCCAACCTTTTAAAAATTATTTCAATTATTTTTAAATTTTTTGTGTTTTGATTTTTTTTTTACTTTACTGTTAGGACCTTTGGAGAAATAGACCCCTGATATTTCCCTTTTTAAATAAAAAAAAGAGATTGAGGACACAGAGTCCTCAATCTCTTTTTCTGTCGCCCCTGTTATGAATGAACAGGAATCCTCTATACAGAGTGCTCCTGTCCATTCATAACCTGTGGATATAGTATCAGTATGTCCACGATCATGAATAAACAGGAAGTGATGTAGTACACTTCCTATTTATTCATAATTAGGGACACAATGACTAAATATGTCCTCAGTTATTCACAAACATGGGTGTGAACAGAACGGATCACACCCATGTTTGAGCAACACATGGAAGGATCAGCAAATATTTCACATATCTCCATCCTGAACTGTTCCGTCCTTCCCATAGTTCTCCTCCTCCCCGCTGACACTGTCAGTCCTGACAGCTTCTCCCCCTCCTGATGGCCACCGGCAGTTGGATCGGGCTCTGTGTCCTGTGTCGGCAGGGGCAGCAGGGATCGGAGGGTATACAGACCGAAGCCTGCAGCCTGATCCCAGCAAGGAGGAGAGAAGCTAGGGATGCAGCACATTTTCGGCTGTTTTTATTTTACTATCGGCACTTTGCCTATAGCACCATTTTCAGGCGAAATGTTTCGGCAGGCCAAAAGTTTGGTGCATCCCTAGTGTCTACAGATTTGGGTGCATGAAACCTAACAGTGATCAGAGACATCAGAATTGATACTAACTGGAGAGGTTTTCTTGTTTGGGATGAGATCACTTGCCACAGAGTAAAACACCAGCCCTTCCTCATCATCCTCTTCCACTTCTACGGTGAGCCTGCAGAAGAAGAAGACTAATAATTCACTATAGCAACACCTTATAGTTCTTAAGTGATGGTTCAAGAAAACAGAAATGCTCATAAAAACAAGGCAATCATATTAATATATGGAGACAATGTAATATTTGTGTATTTTTTAGCCCAAAAACCCAACTCGAGCCAACCACTGTCTGGTTTTTATTGCTGTCTTTGTCCCTGTTCTGGTGAGAGTGGGGTCAGGGGATCAGGAAGACATTGGAAATCTCTCCAATGGTGACAGTAATGGCTATTCACTGCACTGCTACTACAAATGAATGGGCTGCCTGTTATTGCATGATGCAGCATGTGTTAACATGAATACGTTTATTGCATTGCCGTGGACCAGGCTAGTGTAAATGGGACTAAAGGTTCAGTAAAGATTTCAAGACTGACTGAGCAGAATTCCAAAACATTTGGTAGATAAAACAGCTCCTCCAATCTCTTTCGATCAGTGGATTATTTTTGTGGTATGGTGCGCATACATCAAAAGATTAAGGCACTGATAGCACTATGTGTCTACATTGTAATGGCATATAAAACAAAATCACAGCCATTTAATATCTGTTAACTGGTTAAATGGTAAATAGAACATAAAGCTGGCCATACACTGTTATATTTTTTACTTTCCTCAAAATATACCAGATTCTTCCATCCACACTGAATAGCATGGATAGATGAATCTCCCACTGTGTTCTTTGTATCCTCAGAGTGGCGAGTGCGACGCTTTCAGAATCAGAATACTCAAACTGTTGCCTGAAGATTTTCCATCCGGCTCCTTTGATTTTCTGACCGAAGGATGCCAGACAGAAGGGTGCCGACAGGGTTGTGAACGAATTTTGGCCGGTTTAACAAGAACTGGCTGGAATTCACACAGTGTATGGCCAGTTTAACTGAAGTGTTTTACTTGACAATTTATAACACCCTGAACAGACTACAGAGTGTCCCAGGAGTCTGTACTCACAATGCTGGCTTCACAAATGCCTGAAGCTCTATTTTGATTGGTTCCACCCCATATCCATGCTGCCGCTTTACTCTCCCGGGTACAAGTTTTGCTGACTGAAAGTCAGAGAGAAGAATGTACAATAAAAGTTAGATGCATCCATAACGGCTTAAAGTCACAAACACTGACATATAAATAAAACCAGAATAATGAAAATACATTTACCTTGTCATCCAAGTTTAGAAATCCCAGGGCATATCCACTGCATTCTACCTTCTTGGTGACTCCAGAGAGCATAAGAGGAGTGAAGGACACGTGTATGCTACTGTAACCCCCAGCAGGAACAATCTGTAATACAACAGAGAAAGGCAAGATCTACCACTGTAAGGTGTAAAATAAAAACTAGTGATAAGGCAGAGCAACCATAGCGACTGGATCTCTATTCATCCCTGAACCTAACAGGAATTTAATATACAGTATATTAGCTTACTGATTTTTGATGTGGTGGCTGCAGTAGTTTCCTTTTTTAGGCTTTTAATTTTTTCAGCAAACGATTCTGCTAGAAACACCCTTTCTGTAATAGGGTGACAACGCTCACTTACTGTATCTATGGAGAGCAGCATTGTCACCCTCGCATGGAAGCGTTAGGAGTAAAGAGGGGAGATGTTCTGTAGTGTTCTGTAGATCACAGACATGGGCTAAGATTTTAGTTCAGCATTGTCAGCTCACTAAAGAAAGTTAAGAGCTCATTGGACTTTTTGGCAGGGACAACAAGTGTTTTTTCAGTTATCGAACAGATATAACCAAACACTTTAAATGGTAAAGCAAACAAACATTAGAGGTTTTTTTTGTTAGGGTTTAAAAACACTTTAAACTGGCAATCTATCAGCTTCTCTCTTTCATTTTCTAAGCTTAGCTGAAAAAACTGAAGAAAGAAGCTGATTGGTTACTATGGGCAACTGCTCCAGATTCTGTCTGCTCCAGTTTTTATAAATTCCACACATCATACGTAAAGTGATATGGTGTGCCCCAACTACCTGTACAAGAGAGCAGGAGCTGGGAAATAGAATATCTTGTGTAAAAAAGACTTATAAGAATTGAGAATAATAAGTCGGATAACAAATGTGAATGTTTTTTAAAGCCTGAACGAATGTGACATGTCAGCTCTGTATATACACTATATTGCCAAAAGTATTGGGACGCCTGCCTTTACACGCACATGAACTTTAATGGCATCCCAGTCTTAGTCCGTAGGGTTCAATATTGAGTTGGCCCACCCTTTGCAGCTATAACAGCTTCAACTCTTCTGGGTAGGCGACCACAAGGTTTAGGAGTGTGTCTATGGGAATGTTTGACCATTCCTCTAGAAGCACATTTGTGAGGTCAGGTACTGATGTTGGATGAGAAGGCCGGGCTCGCAGTCTCTGCTCTAATTTATCCCAAAGGTGTTCTATCGGGTTGAGGTCAGGACTCTGTGCAGGCCGGTCAAGTTCCTCCACCCCAAACTCACTCATCCATGTATTTATGGACCTTGCTTTGTGCACTGGTGCGCAGTCATGTTGGAACAGGAAGGGGCCATCCCCAAACTGTTCCCACAAAGTTGGGAGCATGAAACT